TGGTATTGCTGGCAAACCAATTATCCTCAAGTTGTTTTTCCTAGAAAAACGCTCAAAATTATTTATATCACTGGCTTGTCTTGCCACTGTTTCCGTTAAGGCTTTGTTTTCTACCATTATCGCCTCAATTATTTTCTCAATATCGTCAGTTCTTTTTTCTTGTCAATTCGACCACTTTGGTATTCTATGCCTGGCCTCTCCTAAATGCCTTTCAATATGTTTCTGACCCTCTATTAGAGCCTTTACTAAATTACTATTGATCTGTTAAAGTCTTTCTAACATACGTTTCAAAATTGCTTTCGTCTTTACTTTCTGCTAGGCCTTCTATTTCTTTGTCCATTGCTGCAGCTGCTTTTGCCGTGCTGTCCATTGTTTCTACTGTGAGAGCACCGTAATGTCGAATATCTCCACCACAGCTTGCACCTTCATTTAAATGCATGTTGACGCAGTGTTCTTTTGTGTTTCCTTTTCTTCTTCTTCTTGTTTTTTGCTTTTCCTTGTCTTTATTTGTGACATCTTTAATTTCTTTACTAACACTGGTACACCCTTTGAGAAAAACAAACGACCACAACACCGACGAACCAGTCCCTGTATTCGCCGTATCAAACACAAATACCAAAGCCAGAGAGAGCCGACAAAATACGTGTGCTCACTACGACTGCATCCAACAATCTGAGGGGTGTTTATGATTTATTTTTAACTCAAAATTGTTTTTTTTTTCCCTTTAGTTGAAGCTCATACATTTGTTTTTTCCGTCTTCCTTCATTAGCTAAGATTGACTGCACCACTTGCTTGTGTGCTGTCACTCATAGAAAATGTGTAATGTCAAATAAATATTAGGCCTATTATCATCTTCTACAGCCGTTTCTCATAATAGGCCTACACATGGATTAAATGACATCATTATTGAATTATGTTTTACCAAGGTCCAACTCGGCTATTCAATCCAAAAAATAAAACGGCGTGTGGATAATATGGTTATCGTGCATGGCGTTACGCTGTATTTCAACATAAAACATTAAGATGTATCTGCTTCAAATTTTACATTTCCACACACCTACACACATACATACAGTGATAATTCAAATGTCTTGTCCCTTTTTTCTTAGAAGTTGAAATATCTAGAATCGTAAATGAAGTTTCTGCAATGTTTTCAATTTATTGCCAAATCATAAAGGAGTAGACCAACCAGTTGGAGCCAGATATTGTCTGTTTATTGCAAGATTGTTTAGGTCATCACTTTTAGTATGACAGACAACACCATTGTAAACGCTGAAGGTATAACTAATAACGTATCTGCTGTAATTTAATGTTAGGTTGGTTATCATTCTTAGTAATATGCACAAGAGTAAAAAACTTTGCCATATACACATAGCCTACCCCGTTTATTCTTGACGACCATTAACATTCGAATGATTTTATGGATTTATACTGCTATTAGACTTGCATTATAACCAAGGATGTTATATACTGTTAATGTTTGCATTAAGAGTAGAATTGCGCATCAAGTCTTATGTAAGAAGTATTAAATACATTTACCAAAAAACACAGCAGAATAATGTGTAATTTACTTTGATAATAAAACTCGCATTATCCATCCGTACTTTTCAATAGACTGATCAATTATTAAAATGTCAGATAGAGTTGAAAAATGAAAAAAGCAATGTACTTTTGTTAAGATGTTATATGTCTACAAATACGTTTGTATTTAAATCCTCTAGAATTATAGGCTTATAATCATGCTTTTTAAAGAAAAAAGTTTGTTCTCATCAGCATTCGAACACAAGATCTTCCGAGCAAAACCACAACAGAATAATGTGTAATGTACTTTGATGATAAAACTCACATTATATCTGTACCATCTATCATATAATCGGTTATCCTTTCTCGGCGCTTCATCCTCCTCCTAGGCTATTTTTGGCGTGTCGCATGTCCTCGATCCCAGAGAAATGAAAAATGTCGAGCGCCCAAACTTTTGTGATGACGTCGTGCCAAAGTAGTAAATAAACTACGGAGCACGCGATTGGTCAAATAGCTTAGGCAACAAACCTCTCATTAATATTCATTTTGAAGTCTTGCTGGTTACGTCATTCAGCTGGCTGCAGCTTTGTTTTGATTTCTACGATCGGACTACGAACAATAGCGACAAATAAACAGTGCCAAAAATGCTCCTATTTTGTAATAAATTGCACTATTTTGGAAACGAGGGATCGTTTTCTGGTTAAGGGGGTTCGCTGGCAGAAGGGGGGTTCGCTGAAAAAAGGGGGTTCGCCCGAACCCCTAAAAACCCCCCTGGCTACGGGCCTGCAGTCCCTGTATTCACCGTATCAAACACAAATACCAAAGCCAGAGAGAGCCGACAAAATACGTGTGCTCGCTACGGCTGCATCCAACAATCTGAGGGGTGTTTATGATTTATTTTTAACTCAAAATTGTTTTTTTTTTTCTTTAGTTGAAGCTCATACATTTGTTTTTTCCGTCTTCCTTCATTAGCTAAGATTGACTGCGCCACTTGCTTGTGTGCTGTCACTCATATAAAATGTGTAATGTCAAATAAATATTAGGCCTATTATCATCTTCTACAGCCGTTTCTCATAATAGGCCTACACATGGATTAAATGACATCATTATTGAATTATGTTTTACCAAGGTCCAACTCGGCTATTCAATCCAAAAAATAAAACGGCGTGTGGATAATATGGTTATCGTGGCATGGCGTTACGCTGTATTTCAACATAAAACATTAAGATGTATCTGCTTCAAATTTTACATTTCCACACACCTACACACATACATACAGTGATAATTCAAATGTCTCGTCCCTTTTTTCTTAGAAGTTGAAATATCTAGAATCGTAAATGAAGTTTCTGCAATGTTTTCAATTTATTGCCATATCATAAAGGAGTAGACCAACCAGTTGGAGCCAGATATTGTCTGTTTATTGCAAGATTGTTTAGGTCATCACTTTTAGTATGACAGACAACACCATTGTAAACGCTGAAGGTATAACTAATAACGTACCTGCTGTAATTTAATGTTAGGTTGGTTATCATTCTTAGTAATATGCACAAGAGTAAAAAACTTTGCCATATACACATAGCCTACCCCGTTTATTCTTGATGACCATTAACATTCGAATGATTTTATGGATTTATACTGCTATTAGACTTACGTTATAACCAAGGATGTTATATACTGTTAATGTTTGCATTAAGAGTAGAATTGCGCATCAAGTCTTATGTAAGAAGTATTAAATACATTTACCAAAAAACACAGCAGAATAATGTGTATTTTACTTTGATAATAAAACTCGCATTATCCATCCGTACTTTTCAATAGACTGATCAATTATTAAAATGTCAGATAGAGTTGAAAAATGAAAAAAGCAATGTACTTTTGTTAAGATGTTATATGTCTACAAATACGTTTGTATTTAAATCCTCTAGAATAATAGGCTTATAATCATGCTTTTTAAAGAAAAAAGTTTGTTCTCATCAGCATTCGAACACAAGATCTTCCGAACAAAACCACAACAGAATAATGTGTAATTTACTTTGATGATAAAACTCACATTATATCCTGTCTCTTATACACA